ATTAGTTAAAGTTTGACTAATTTAAGATAAGTCGCCATATTTTACTGTTACTGAGAGTAATAAGTAACTGATTTATTTAATCGTTTTTAATTCTTGCGGCGTTAAATGCAATAAAATTGCAAATGCAAATAAAGATGCAAAAAGTTTAGCTCCAACACAAAAAATATATTCAATTTTAACAATAATATTAACAATATTTATTGACAGATATCATAAATTTAATAAGTAGCAGTAGTTCGTCTACTAATTTGACTGTTTCATTCCGTAGAATTTGACTAATTATAATTACTAATTTGACTGTTTCATTCCGTAGAATTTGACTAATTATAATTAGTGACTGCTAATAATTATTAGAGACTGCTTTGTCGCTATGAAAATAATTCAAATATGACTTATAATTAGTTATTTTTGACTTATTCATTTTAAGATAGTATATCTATAGATATTACTTACAGACTAAATCAAAATATGTCTAAAAAAATAACTCGTCTCAAAAAATTTTATTTATGTTTTATATGTATTTTTTTAATAAAAAATATTTTAATTTATAAGAGATAATAAGGTTAGTATGCCCGGGCGCCCTTAAGCTACCAGATTGTATAGTATAAGTATAGTATCTAGTAATAGGCGCCAAATTTTTAAGTGCCTAAGGCGCTGGATTGCCTTAAGCCGGCCCTGATTGCTTATCCTATTTATATTACGCCCTTGAAAAAAAAATTGTATATGTTATTTGGAGTAGAAGCTCTTTTTGTGCTTCGTACAGTTGCCTGCCTCAGCTACGCTTCGGCCGTCAATCTCTGTACTCACCACAAAAAGAGCCACTTCTACTCCTTATGACATAATCTACTATTGTTGGAGTCACTGGAAATTAAAAAACTAAAAAGTACTGATATTGTATAGAGACCAATAATTCACCGTTATTAAATTTATTTTAATTATTCACACAATAAGAATACATTCCATCATTACTTACTATTGTTCAGGTAGATCCAAAATTTTGTACCATAAAATATTGTGTTATATAAACTTACATAATCTATGATAATAGGTTCAAATACATTCTGAAGAAGTCACTGTGACGAAACAATTGTCAAAAATAAATAAATCAAGTGAAACTTTAAAAAACATACTAGTTTTTATATCTACATAATAATAATAATATATAAGATATTACAAACATGTTTTAAACAAATGGCGAGGGGGGGAAAGTTTTAGAAAGAACAATAAGAACTTTTAATGAACTCAACTTAAAAAGTGAGACAAACGTTTTCGAAATTTTCCCGTAAAAAAATTGCGACGTGTCAATATGTGTCGTTAACAAGACTGGCGATAAATTGAACAATTACTGATTTGTTTTATTAGTCAATTTGTTTATTTTTTCAAAACAATTTTTAAACTTTAAATTGATAATTCGTGTAAAGCCGGGTCTACAATTGTCGCAGAACGCAGATCGCAGAACGTAAGCATGCGCAAAGCACCCATCCACGTTGCGATGGAGCAAGGTCACACGTCGTTGTTATGTGAGCTGTCTACAATTGTCGCGCGATGTGCTTTTATTGACCAATCAGAGCAATTGTTTTCTTTATAACCACAGTGTGGCCAACGTAGAAGTGTTTCCCCTAAATTTAGTGAAAAAAAACAGAGATATGGATGGATCCCTATCTCTAAAAAACTGCTTGGGGTTTATTTTTAGGTAAAAAATGTAAATGTAAATGTAAAAAGAGTTTATATATAATTATATTTGTATATTATATATATAATATATATTATTATTATATATATTGGAAATATATATATATATATATATATATATATATTGAAAAAATTGTTTAGATTATCATAGAATTAGTTAATATTATTTAAAATTTTAAATAATTATTTTGATCAAAATTTGAAAATTCTAAATGATTTTCGATATTTCCTAAAAACTACCTATTTAAATCAATATAGGTATGAATATTCAATAGTAATAAGAATATACATACCTACATTTATTTAAATGGTCTTTAGAAAATATTGAAAATTATTTTAAATTTGGACAATTACGTTTTTCGAATAATTTCTGAGAATTACACCAAAAATTTAAAAATAACCGCGAAATAGGAAAAGGAACTAAATAAAAGTATTGATTATTGAAAGAAAGAGAGCACAGAGACAGATAGATTCTAGCGCTCTATGATTGGCTAACATAAAAGCCTGCGAAAGACGTTATTGAAGATGAATTAACTTTCTGCGACGTGTGACCTTGCTCCATCGCAACGTCGCTGGGTGCTTTGCGCATGCTTACGTTCTGCGATCTGCGTTCTGCGACAATTGTAGACCCGGCTTAACGTTGTTTAAATCGAAGTAAAAACAATCCAACGCACAGTACTGATATTGCACATTAAAAGTTTCAATTGTCCTTTCTTAAACTTTTCTGCACTCATCATAAGTATAAAATATGTTTAGAATTGTAAAAGAATTTTCAGAGACGTTGACATTGACATTAATTCATAAATAGTAAATAAAATTCTGTTACGGAATTAAATAGGAAGGAATGAATTCTGTGTTACCTAACGCAGAATTCAATGGGGGGAATATTAAAAATATATTTTTTGTAATTTTCCCTTCTATGCCTTCGTAAACTACTGATATTACAAATAAAAAAAAGAGGTTTTTATACATTTTTTGTAATATCTCTGTAAATATTCATTTTACGTATAGGGAATGCTGCAGTATTTCAATAGAAAACATTATTTTGTGTCAAATGATTTGAAAATTATATGGTAGTTTCGTTTGAAATGAACATATTAGTAAGACCGTTTATAAATCTGTCAAAATTAAAAAAAATATATCTCAAAAACTGTTAAAAATAAAGAACATAATCAAATTTTATTATTTCTAGAATTTTACGTAAAATTTAAAAATGCAATAATATTTATATGTCGGTATAACCGGAAGTGATAACGCATTGAAAATAATTTTAAAAAATAGTTCACATTGCCTTATATTTGCTATACAAATTTCAAATTGATATCTTTTTCCGTTCTCCATAAACTTTTAATTAATAATTTAGAATCATCTATGTATAGTAAATTTAAAAGTAAACTACGTACGTACACGTCATGAATAAAACAAAAATTTTACGTATTGGTACCAACACTAAATGACTAAATCGAAGTCTGTAATTGAATATTTGAATGCATTTTAAACATCTTCAGTTGGCAACAATTACGATGTTGTCATGTTTACATTCGAATTTTTCATATTTAAATGACACATAAAAAAGAATTTGACGTTTTAGAATTTCGAAGCTGTATTTTGTTTGTTGTTTGTGTTATTTTATATCGTTTAAGTTTTCATTGCCGTTTTTGTGTTTGTTATATATCGTTTTTTTGTGTTTCCTATATTTAAAATGCCGAAGCATTTAAATAATAATAATAATAATAATATATGTGATGCTAAAATCCTTGCATCAAGGGAAAGTGGTAGTGCAACTACAGGGCGGTAAACGCCATCTTTACATGAATAATACCAAAATGTCAAAAGTCAGCGTTTTATAACCTATATGATGCAACGCCAAAAGTATATTTTTAGCCATTTTTAAAGACATTTTCAGCTATAAAATCCAGAAATTTTGCCATCTAAAGTCCGTCTCTGGTATATATATTATTATTTTATGTATCCAACATATATTCTGTTAAATATTCTAAAATATAATTAATAATAATCCTATTTACCTCTCTAACAGCTGTTAAAGGTAACAAAGGTCCATTATTATCCAGTTCTGCCTCAAAATAGCGTATTAAGGATGATACCAACTCTTGACTCCGACCATTTAAATGCTTCGACATTTTAAATATAGGAAAAACAAAAAAACTATATATAACAAACACAGAAACGAAAACAAATGAAAACTTAAACGATATAAAATAACACAAACTACAAACAAAATAAACGAAATTATACACGAATTAAAGGAAATGTTCAAAAACACAACTGACCCACATTAAAGACCTTTTATTATGGAAGTGTCCAATCGATTCTTTCTTATGGAATATTGTGTTGGGGAAAAAGCTCATCTACTAATAGAATGTATTTATATACTAGAATCTTAAATTTAAAAATGCTGTATCCTCGTATCTAAAAGAAAGAAGTTTTTATTCTATTGAAAAATATTTTGAAAAGTAACTACAATTTTATCCTGCTATGATATATGTTTTTTAACAATATGTGAATTTTTACAATTTTACTTATCTGGACTGCGGCAACGTTGCAAATTTAGGGTTTTGGTCGGTAAATACAGTTGTCTACTTGGTCGCATTGATTAAAACAAACTAAGCTAGTTATAAATCTAATTGTGGTTATGTATAAATTATTGTAGGTTACATTGTGCAGTTGTCAAGTTGAGTTGTTGAAATTCTTAGTTAAAAATGCAATTAATTTGGCTTTGGTGGTGTAGTTAGTAGTTAAATATGAGTTGCTTTACGGCCCAGAAGAGAAAGTATTCCTAGCGGATAATAATCTTCACTTTACAAAGAATTTATATAAACGAACGTAAATGTTGTCCAATGGTGAATAATGTGAAATAATGTGTGATGTAATATTTATAAAACCAAATTCGTTTTTTACTCCAAAAATGTCCATAAGGCGATGTACTTTTTCTTCCATTGTGGCATTTGGCATAATTTCATCAAAATGAAGTTTTGCCCTCAAAAGGGATTTTACATTCGAATTTTGGCATAATTATCTTGTTACCTATTTATAATTGACAAGTAAATTATCAATAATAAATAATATTGTCAATTTGACAGTGTCAAAGTATTTAATTAAATTCTTTAGCAAAAGTACAATTTTTAAATACTAAAAATACTTAGTCAAACTGGCATAAGTCACCAACCTAACAAAAAAACACGAGTCCAGATAAAAAAAATGAACTGTATGTATTTTATATTGTATTTTAGACGCTTTCCTATTAAATTTTTTGAATTGTCATTTTTGCAAATAACTATTAATTTTAGATCTGAAATCAAAGAAAGTGATGAAGACAATTCTGACCATGGAGATGAAATGGATCGTTTCTTTTGCAATATTAAGGAAGAAGGAAGGGACGGTTACTTTTCTGAAGAAGATGACAAAAATTTGTCAGACAGTGAAGAAAAAGATGAGGATGAAGCCATGTTTGAGACGAAAATCGAGGTGGAATATCATGGGGTTCAATATGATGATCAGAGTGGCAAAGAAAAGCTGTTTAAATGTGACCTGTGTCCTAAGAAATATGATTCAAAGAGAGGTGTATCGCAGCACAAAAAGTTTTTTCATTTTAAAGACGAACAAGAGCAGTTTAAGTGCGACCAATGCGATTACGTGACTGTAAGAAAAGGTATTTTCAAAAGGCATTTAAAAGTCCACGAAAAAAACAATAATTTAAAGTGCCAATTCTGTGAGTTTAAGGCTCTCGAATTATGGAGTTTAAATGCACATTTATTAAGCAAGCACAAATTAGAAAAAGAAGAAAGAGAAAAAATTAAACAAATAAGTAAAATCTATGAGTGTTCTAAATGTTTGTATTTAACTATCAAAAAATCACAATATGATGGTCATATTAAATTTTGTTTAAAATTGGAAAACGTCAAATGGCATAAATGTGACATTTGTCACTATCAATCTATTCGCAAAAGGCTATTAGAGATTCATATGAAAATTCATAACAAAATAAAAGAATTTAAATGTTTCTTTTGCTTATTTAGTTGTCATAAAAAAAATGAAGTGGACAACCATATTTTAAGAAAACACCCAGATTTTTTGAACGAATTCAATATAAGTATTATTACTTCCAAAATACTTTGTTGCCAAAACTGTAATTATAGAACTACATTTAACAGTGATTTAAAGAGACATTTTAAACGTAATCATGGCGAAAATGCACCGATAATTGGAGACCCTATTAAAAATGCCATATAGAAACACAAAATAAAAATCTATATGGTTCTATATGGTTCAATATAGGAATTTGAAACAGGCATTGCACTATTGAACCAGATAGAATTCCATACCTGGAAAACCATATAGAAAAGTGATTTCTATATGGATTGCCATATAGGTTCATATTGCTCTATCTGGCCCAATATGGTTTGGGTGTGAAAAAAATTATTACCATATAGATCCATATTTAACCATATAGGGGAATCTATATGGTTTAATATGCAATTTTCGTTTAAATATATATACATTTTAAAATGGAATTCCATATTCAACCATATAGGGAAACCTATATGGAAAGACACATAAAACAGAAACCAGATAAATCCATATAAAAATCCCTAAGTTGTACATTTTAAAATGAAATTCCATATTAAACCATATAGATTCCAAAGTGTAAACCAGGTCAATCCATATAGGACATATAGAACCATATAAATCCATATTAGTTTCCTTATCTGGATCAATATGGGTTCTATAGGGCATTTTTAATAGGGGAGGTAACGTGAAAAAAACATCCAGTTTTTGTTGTTTTTTTTGGCTCTTTTTCACTGTTTTTTTGTAACATTAAAATCCAATCAAGCATAGTTTTAGCGTTTTGGCCCCTTTTTCGCAAAAAAAAAATTTAATTTAACAGCAAAATTTACTTTAAAATGTTGGCAAAAAACTTGTGAACTGTTGTCTTTTTTGTAGGAAATTTGGTTTCCCACAAAACTCGTCATAATTAAGATAAAAATTAAGATTTTAAAAGATATGCAAAATTAAAGTCATCAAAATTTAAAATTTTAGCAAAATATCAAAATTAATGGTTTTACTATGAGGCGCCGTTTGAGTCAAAATTAAAAGTGCAAAATAAACTTATTTTGCTTTATAAATAATTAATTATATGCATTATTTGCAAATTATTTTTTTATCAAATTATTTTTTTTGAAATAATTTTTTTATCAACTTATTTTATTATAAAATAATTTTTTTGAGGGAAAATTTGTCAATATGGCGTATTATCTACCTTATGTGCATAGTCAGTTCATAAGTGGGGGATTTAAAATATATAATACCATAGACATATTGTCCAGGTATGATACGAATTGTAAACTAAATTAAATTTAGGTTATATCAAATTTTATAATATTCATATTATGTAAAAGCCACTGAAAATCTCGTAAAGACAATGAAAAAAACAATGCCAAAACAATTGGTATACAGACAACAAACAAAATGGTTAATTATTAAAACCATCTACATATTGGAAACGCTCGTTGTTACCAACCATAACATAATAAAAATAAAATAAAAATAAATGGATAAAGGTTATTATAAATTATTTTTGGTCTTTGGGACTTGGAGAAAAAAGTTTCAGGTGCTTCTTTATGGACCCTAAGGAACTACCCATTTTAATATATTACATTAATTACATAACACCCTGGTACAGGCACAGAAAACAATTAAAACATTTTGTATTTAAATTTTTGAATTGCAATAAAATATTAAAAACAAAATAAAAATTTGTAAAAAAAAACAAAAAATTTAATTAAAAAATATTTTAAATAATAAGAATTAGAAAACAAATATTGTTTTTATGAAGAATCCTAAAGCCCGTATTACAGTCTCCAATTACTTGCAGCAACTTTCTTGCATGCAACTTTCCATGGTTCTCTGGGTAATAACGTGAATACAAAAACAATATGTTAAGAAAAGAGGCCTATAGTATGACTTTAATTGACATCCGCTTTTATTGCTGATGCACCCTACAGGGTGTCACAAATTTCGAGAAAAAGCTTCTTACATTTGCACCCTGTATATGCTCATATTAAAATCTGAATAAAATTGAGGCGTTTCTCTGAAAAACATCATTAGTCCAATATCGTCGAAATTTAGATATTAGCACCAACTGTTTCCTAACCTCCATATATACGTATATGTTACGGCTAATGTGCAAACTTGGATAGTTTATAAACTAGCTGGATAGTTTATAAACTAGCCAAACTGTCAGCTATTTTAATTAAAAATGTATTTTCAACTAAATTAGCGGCTAGTTTACAAAATAACCAAGGATCTTGGCTAATTTACTTGAAATTTTTAGGGAAACTAAAATAGCTGGATAGTTTGTATACTATCCAATTCAATTTGGCTAATATGAAAACCAAAATTTCTAGTAACACAAAATAGCCAAGCTTTAGCTAGTTTGTAAACTAACCAACTAATTCTCTTGCTGTTGCCCATTTTAGTTGGGTTTTTTGCCCAATGGGGCGGGGTCGGTTGGGTTGTGTTGTTGAGTTTGGGTTGGTTTGGGTTTTTTCTCTCATTTTTGACCATTTGACCAATGGGGCGGGGTCGGGTTGAGTTTTCTAACAAGGAAGCGTTAAAATTTTGCCTATGATTCATTTTAAAAACCTTAAAATGCACAAAACAAATCCGGTTAAGCCGGCAAAACTAAAAACAATGCCGTAACCTCACTTTTTTAATAAATTAGCCAGAGAATTGGTTGGTTAGTTTACAAACTAGCTAAAGCTTGGCTATTTTGTGTTACTAGAAATTTTGGTTTTCATATTAGCCAAACTGAATTGGATAGTATACAAACTATCCAGCTATTTTAGTTTCCCTAATAATTTCAAGTAAACCCAGAGAGCCATATCAGGTTAAAACATGGCCAAGAATTGCCCATTACCTTTGGAAAAGTTTTGCCAATAAATGTACTATGTAGGACTGTATATTCCTATGGTATTTGTGCAATCGCGATGGCCAACAATAAATGACCAAATTGTGCCCAATAATATGCCAAAGCAGTTTGGATAAATTAGGTAGGTTACCGTTGGTTTAATTTTGGGAATGTTTGGGCATGGAAAAACGATGACAAATTTTTGATGTTTATTTGGGCAATTAGGCTTTTGAAAAATTGACCAAATATTGGTAAATATTTGGACAAATCCAAAGTATTAACAAATATTATTATTATATTTGAAAATTGGGTAAATAAAAAAATTTGTATTTATATTTTTTAATAATAAAAAAATAAAACAGTATGTTTCAATACTGGAACAGTGGTCAAAAATAATATTAAAAAAAACAAATGTATAAATAAAAAATATTTAAAATAATCAAAATTGGAAAAAAATATTGTTTTTTTATGTTGAATCCCAAGCAGTGATTTAATTGTTTTTTTGCAATAAGGCTTTTTTTTATTTCGGACCCGTTGCTTCGCGTTGTTTAAGGCCACGTCAAAGGACCTCTGGAATTCTAAAGCCCCTGGAGGAGGAAATTTATCATGTTCATGTAAACTCTCTAAAAAATACTTTAAGTAACAAAATTGTCTAGGAAATAATATTAAAATATAAAACATACGGTGAATGGCTTGTACGATTTTTGTTTTGGACACTCCAACACCAGCACGTCCAGTGCGCGTTATTTTTGAAGAAACTTCATCTGAGAAGGCTTCTTTGACAATTAAATTCACGCTGCCTACGACGTCATCGTCAGCGACAAATTTAAAGTAGCTAACCTATAACATAACAATATAAAAACACAAGTCTTAAAACGTATTTTGGAAGTGAAAACCATTTTTTGATACATGTTTACAAAAAAGTGTTATTTTTCTATGAAGAATGCACTGTTTAAGTTTGGCCCCCTAATTTCAGGACACCCTGTATACCTATCTATAGATTTCTTTAAGTGCAGATGTATTCTTGGTTGAGTTTTTCTTGTTTGACGGGTCAACAAAAATTGTGTTACACAATTTTTTAAATTAAATTACCTACGTTTCATTACATTACTTTAAATGCTGGCTAAATCCACCTTAATACTTACTTGTTATAATATTATGATACAAATAGAATTACGATCAGGCTATCAAGAATTATGCTTTATTAAACATTAAGAAAAATAGTTTGTGATTGGTAACTTTATGTTATGAAGAACTTTAAAAATAAAAAAGAAATAAATTTTTAAATTCAATAAAAAAATTGCAATTACCTTGCTCACTTCTAGCACGATAGATCTTAAAACCCAATAAATCCTCTTTTTCCTTCGTGACATATAGGTAGAAAATTTATTTTTAAATTGTCCTGCTTGTAGTAAAAGTACCCATAAACACTATTTACCTAGAAAAAGGCAGTTATTTTTCTTCACTGCAACTTCAAGATGAAAATCTGTAACAATTAACAAAAAATAAGTACATAATACCTATAGAACTACCAATGTAAATTTATATTACCTACTTCAAAATTAATAAGGGTATAAAATCTTCAAGAAGTAAGAAATTGTATAATAATTGAATGTTTTATTAAAAACTTTGAAAACATACCTAACCTTAATTACTTACTCAAAATTTAAAGCCGTTTAAAACTTAACACGTTTAGTTAGTGCACAGATGATTATATTTTTTTGTAATAACTATCACACAAGCACTTTTTGACGCCTTTTTGTAGAGAAGGTCTTGAAATATTAACGACATATAACTCGCCATTGCGATTCTTTTTCCATGCTGATCAATTATTTGCCAAGTTTCGATCAATCTGAATTACAAACGCTTTGCCAATTTTCGACCAAACTTCATTACAAACGACGTTGGCCAATAATAACTCTATCTAGGACTGTATATTTGTGTAGTTGTTGTGCTATCGCATTGGAAAATAATTTGGCATAAAACATGTCAATTTTTGGTCAAACTTTATGAAAATACAATTAATATGTCCAAATAAACCCCAATAAATGTAAAATATCGTAGTCCAAACTTAGTTGGGAAAAAGTTGACTAATTTCTTTCCCAAAGCATGGCTCTCTGGGAATTAGCCAAGATCCTTGGTTATTTTATAAACTATCCGCTAATTTAGTTAAAAATATGTTTTCAATTAAAATAGCTGACAGTTTGGCTAGTTTATAAATTATCCAGCTAGTTTATAAACTATCCAAGTTTGCACATTAGCCATAACATATACAAATAAGTGTTTCTCGTAAAAATGTCATAGGTTCCATAATAATTAAATATGAAATTTAGCTTGTTCTTCTAAAAACATCACAAGTCCACTCCGTTTCGTCTAAGAAAGTCACATGTGCATAACATGTGACCTTTTTGGACACTCTAGAAAAGCTTCTACCTCTTTTACATGATTACAGCAATAGAAAATTTTATGATAACTTGATAAAAGAGCAGAAGACCATAGCACCTGACAGTCCTGATAACACGGTCGACAACGATGATAACAGCAGTGGATGCGAAGACTAAGTGTGGCAGTAATACAGTTTTTAGTTTTTTCATTTATTTTGTTACTCAGAGTTAATATTTAGTTTGTAGGGTTTGTAGTAAGGACAATTGTTCGTTTTTTTCTTCTAAAAACCTCACATGTTCATGTATTTTTTTTATATTCGTGTGAAAAAAAAACATGAGGAATTCTGGACAAAGTATTTTAAATTTATTACATGTAGTAAATAGGTCCATAAAGTACTTTGGTCAAAAATGGGAATGTCAGAGTTTTTTTCATTTTCCCAAATATGTTAATTTTGGACTAATGATGTTTTTCCGAGAAACGCGTCAATTGTTTACGATATAATCGCAACTGAAGAGTCTACCTACAATTAAAAAAAATATCAAAACTGATGAGCGGTTTGCGAGAAAATCAACATTTAAAGTCTGGCCAATTTTTCTTGCCGCTTAGTGTATTATATAATTTAGGTTTTTCAAACATAATTCCAAAGTCATTTAATTTTAAGACTAATTCTTAATAAATTATTACCCATTTTCAAATGCAATTTAATAATGAAGTTTTAATTAACATTAATTGTTGATTTTTTTATTTTTTTTATCCACTAAATTAATTTTTGCCAACCCTGGTTAATTAAATTAAATTAAAAATTTAAAGAAGTTATAACTTTTAAAAATTAAGTACCTACCTAAATAGATCAGTTTTGTGACAAAAATCTTGATATTTATCAAAATTACTATTTAAAAACCATACTTATCAATTTTAATAACTTGTACCTACATTATCCACAAAAATAGTAATAAAAAAACTAGGTTTAAAAGTTTTGTACTGTTTTGTATTTGCAGTTGGTAAAAGACTATAGTCTCTACAATGGTATAAAAATCTTCAACATGTTACCTAATAACTAAGTTTAAAAAAACCCAAAAAATAGATTTATAGATTATAATTTTTTATAAAGAGGTAATTTATTACCTGTAATAAGCGGAAATTCTATTTCTGTACACTTGTATCTGGTTGTTAAATAAATAAATAATTAAAAAATTATAATAACACTGAATGTTTGTTGCTTTATTTTTTGTTCCCATACCTTTTTATAAAATATTAATATTACTTACCTTAAGGTACTTTACATTTATATTTGACAATATCGAAAATTCTTATTAAAAGAAATTGATCAGAACTAAAAACTACGTTCAAATATGCATTCCATTTACATGTAAAAAATCATTTTTTTTGTTTACAATAACAATGCAAATGTTACATCTAGGATCCCGGACAACATTCGTGTTATTCATACGAACATCATGTCGTGATTTTCACAAATTTTATTCATACTGATATCATACGGAAGTCACCGCGTGATAAATGAAAATCATAAGAACGTCACGTCGTGATTTTCACAAATTTTATTCATACTAATATCATCCGGGTGTCACTGCGTGAGAAATGAAAATCATGTCGTGATTTTTTATGCCATCGCTGTTTGCGATTGACCAATGGCCTAAAAAAGCATGTCGTGATTTTTTATGCCATCGGTGTTTGGATATTTATTTTTGCGCCACATTCGTACATTAAGAGAAAAAGTATACCTACATATATATTGAATCAACAGTTTTTATAGTTAAATACATTCAATATTTTTTTGGATTTAAATTAATAGTTAATTTACATCCAAGAAAATATTAAATGTATTTAACTGCAAAAAACTGTTAATTCAATTTTTAACATACTTTTTCTTTCAATGTACGAATGTGGCGCAAAAATAAATATTCAAACTTGTCGGTGCACCGATGGCATAAAAAATCATTTCGTGATTTTTTGGATTAACGTACATTTTCTCACAATGTACGAACGTGGCGCAAAAATGATTATCCAAACACCGTTGGAATAAAAAATCACGACATGATTTTTTAGGCCATCGGTCAATCGCAAACAGCGATGGCATAAAAATCACGACATGATTTTCATTTATCACGCGGTTACTTCCGTATGATATCAGTATGAATAAAATTTGTGAAAATCACGACATGATGTTCGTATGAATATCACGAATGTTGTCATTCAATTAAAAAAAATATTCCAATGTTTAACAAAACGTTCACGTTTTGTTAAACATTGAAATATCTTTTTTAATTGAACCCGGACAACATTCGTGATATTCAAACAACGTTTTATAAATTATAACGGTGTAATGTGAATAACAAACTAGGTTTTAAATTCGCAGTTCGCAGGGCTCATACGCACGCGCAAATTTTGCAAATATCACACCGTGAGTTCTACATGATATCACTGTGATGAAGCATGTGTATGCACTCAGGATATCACAGCGTGATAAAAAAAAATCACGTTGTGATATCATCATGACTTCACCAGGAAATCCCGATTGTTGTCCGGGATGCACTGAGAAACAAATGATTTGTTGATAGCAAGAAATGTTTGTCATTGAATGTCAAAACTTCAGAATTTGCTTATTAATTCTACGGGATATCCCATATGGAAAAGTTATCATGTTTATAATTAATAAAAAAGATAAATGTTCGGTATCGGTAAAAAAAATTAGTAAAAAAAAGATGCAATTGCATATTAAAACATATAGTTTTTATTCTGAACAACTTTTCATAATTACAGTTTTTTATTTTAGATTTTAGAACATGCAGAACTTTTTATAAAGAATAACTTTTTTTCGTAAAATTGACCATATGCAAGGAATGCGGTCGATGTTGCCAATGGTAAAAAAATAAAATTCCCTATTGGGAACATTCAATTATATTACGTTGGCTACATTGAAAATTTGAATTTCCCGCACAAACTAAATTAATTTCTATCTTTTTTTTTTAATAATAATAAATAATAATAATTCCCACATTTGAAATTCGCACCTTCATTTATTATACAACATTGGAACTACCTTCTTTATCTCTGGGAATTACTAGAATGTATGTCAGTTTGTGCGGGAAATTCAAAATTTCAGTGTATCCAACGTAATATAATTGAATGTTCCCAATAGGGAATTTTATTTTTTTACTATTGGCAACATCGACCGCATTCCTTGCATATGGTCAATTGACCATATGCAAGGAATGCGGTCGATGTTGCCAATGGTAAAAAAATAAAATTCCCTATTGGGAACATTCAATTATATTACGTTGGCTACATTGAAAATTTGAATTTCCCGCACAAACTAAATTAATTTCCATCTTTTTTTTTTAATAATAATAAATAATAATAATTCCCACATTTGAAATTCGCACCTTCATTTATTATACAACATTGGACCTACCTTCTTTATCTCTGGAAACTACTAGAATGTATGTCAGTTTGTGCGGGAAATTCAAAATTTCAGTGTAGCCAACGTAATATAATTGAATGTTACCAATAGGGATTTATATTTTTTTACCATTGGCAACATCGACCGCATTCCTTGCATATGGTCAATTAAATTAAAGCTTAAAGAAAGTTTCCCATATGTTGCCAACTTAAGTAGACACACTGTGGGTATATAAAAAATAACTATAAAATCAGTTTGAAAATTGTCTGTTTTTTAATAATATGCCAATAGTTATTTGTTTTACAAGTGTTGAAAAGCGACTTTTTCATGCGAGTTTTTAAGTTGCCCACGAGGCCGTTAGGCCGAGTGTGCATTAACACGAGCTTGAAGAAAGCTTTTCTCACAAGTATAACACAATGTTTTTTCTGCGACCCTTTTATTTTTTATTATTTTTAAATACAAAACAAAATAACCTAAAAACTTTTTTGACAGCTGAATGTCAAACGATGCTTTCCGGTTCTTTTCACACAGACCTGTCACTTTTCACACAGAAATTTCACTTTACATTCGTGTTTTGCCTTGCCAATGAAAATATTCATTTTCTAAGCAACGATGCCATCCTGAAAAGTGACTTTTACATAGTGGTCGTAGAAAAAATAAATTTTGTTTTGTAGTTGGTCCCTAACATTATTTATGCCTTAATTATAAAACTATAGTTAAGGAATTAAAACGTCGCGACGCGTCGGTTTCAATCTTAAAATACAATGGTGGTTTGTTTGTTTATAGTGATAAGAAAAATACTGGAATGGCCACATTCCACTCATCCACTGTTTTCCCTACTCTAAAGTCTGCCTGGTGATTTTTCCAGGGATATTTTAGTCTATAACAGATTGAAGTAAATTTTCTGTCAAATATCAGTTTTTCGAATATGAACGTAGGTATTTGTTGGAATATTGGATTTAGAATTTGAATATTTTGTGTTTACGCCCAATCATTGAGAAAATACAAGAGTTAATACCCACAACTTCTCTAATTATTAAATATAAGCAGTAGTTTCTGTGTACAATGGAGCAAATGGTAGTTAAAAAAGAACTAATCGATGATTTCGAATGCAATATTTCGATAAATAACGATAAACCAAGTACCTTTGCTGACCAAGAAATGCCTTTAACCTCTGGAATAGCCGTAAAACAAGAAATCAAGGAAGCATTGGATGATAGTGACCACTATGATGAATTAGGGGTGAAAGAAAAATCAGAAACTTCCACAAATGAAAAAGACGACTTTACTAGAGCCAAGCAAGCCGAATTAAAATTTAAATCAAAAGACGAAGTGTTAGTCAACAAAGGGTAAGCAAAAATTCACATTTTTTGTATACATTCTTAATAAAATGCAAAATAAACAATCTACATTGCACAATACAGTTTTTGTGTTGTTTAATTAAAAACAATTAAATAAAGTTATCTACAAAATATATCCTGTGCTATTTTTCAGCATAACTTTGCCACAAAGATATTTAAACATACCTGCCCATAATTTTGGATCTAAAATTCCTGATAGTCATGAAAAAAGTGGAAATTATAATGATGAAAGTAAAGATTTCTCTTCCAATATTAAGGAAGAAGAAAGGGCAAGTGACTTTTTTCAACACAATAAAAATGAAGAAAAGGATGAGGATGAAGTGATGTTTGAGCCAAAAATAGAGATGGAATATCATGGGGTTGAATATTATGAATCAGGGTGAGTTATAATTTGTTTAAAATAAAAAATTAAAACAAAAAACACTGTATAAAATTCATAGATTTAAAAATATTAGCACCCCACCATTATTACACAACCAGGGAGGGACTAAGCACTAGTTGTTAATTTTGTAATTTTTTTAACTTTTTTTTAGACAAACAAACTTTTATAGAAAATTTATTACAGAATGGAAATGTAAAATTGAATGTTTTTGTAGGACCAACAGTGAAGTTGTAAATAAAGATATACAGGCAATAATAGGCCTCACAAAAGCAGGAAAAGGTAAGAATTGTTTTATTTTAATTTAAACTTTTCTACATTTTCTGGAAAAAAGTTAAATGCTGTCAAGAAAACTTTATCATTGCAAAAATGACATAATAACCACTTAATAAAAACGCCAAATTAACAATTTGCATTGTAGATTTAGTAATTTTTGTAAAAAAGCTAAATTTAAACAAAATTTGGCAACTTTTTTGACAGAATCTGGAAACGCTGGTGTTACCAACCATAACATAATAAATTAAATTAGGCAACCAGATTAGCCTATATATTTCCTAGTCGATCAGTGGCTTTCTTTTTGGCAGGATAAAGGCTATTATAAATTATTTTTGGTCTTTAGAATTTAGAATATATTACATAACACCCTGTACTATGTATTATATACAGGGTGTTTAAAAAACATGTGCCAATGCTTGGCTGGAGATTCTTCATCCAAAAATAATAAAAAGTTTATTTAAACGTGCCAAGTTTTTAAGATACAGGGTAAAAAACATAAAAAAAATTAAAATATCTGAAATATCGATTTTCTGATTTTGTTAAAATTTGGCAACTAATAGGAAGCTAATTTAGCTTTAACCACAATCTACAAAACAAGGTCTGTTCTATCTCGTTTCGCGCATACTAAAAATCGATAGATTTTGTATTTGGGTTATTTTCAAGAAACACCCGCTTTCAGGAAAATGAAGATCAAAAATTTTTTTTTGCTTAAATTGACTTTTGGTTGGATTTTTATAAATGTTTAGAGTTTTGTTTACTTACATTTAAGACAGGCAGTGCACTTTTTATTTTTTTTACGTTTTTTTTAGAAAAATGTGTTTAGCTAGCTTTATATGTCTCCACTGTGTTACCAATTTGAAATCCAAAGTTTAATTCAATAAAAAAAGTTAGTTCACAAACTTTTCACTCCAATTTTATTTTTTATTAAAAATTGTATGCCTTTTTTAAATATTTATGTTAGTTAAGTTACTTTTTAAAAGACACCATTCCGATTCTTTGTTAAAAAAACAATACCATTAATATTTTCTTTTAGTCACTGTATTAGTGAGTTAAACTCTAATTTATAAACACGTATTACCAAGTGATAGTGTATAAAAATCATTTTAAGTATTTTTATTTAACAAAAACTAAAAAAAGTAACGAAATAGACATTGGTATCACAACGGACTGGGGTACACAAAGGACTTAATCAGATAACGTAAAAAAGAAACTATAAAGGGTGGTACGATTTTAGAGTAATGCATAAACAAAATCCCTTGTAGTGGTGCTCACTTGCAGAATAACAACCTAGGTTTCTAAATTATAGACACCCTTTTTCTTTGACTATAAGCTGCTGAAGGTCCCTTTTAGTACTTGTATATTGCGTGGAATTTTCCCTTGGATGTAATCTATATCATGAGTTGTAATCACAATAATTTTAAATTGGTTTATCATAAACTACTTTTAGTAAAAGCGACGGTAAATATTCACTTTGTTGTTGAAAAATTATATTGCGTTACCAAAATTCCATTGCGTTACCATAAGGTAACATAGTGGACTCGGTAACGCAGTGGACAAAGTTTTGTGAAACCATATTTAAAAAATAAGACATTACAATCATTAATTACTCTTAATGAGCTTTAGTGCCTTAAAATAAACATAAACATGAAAAATAGTATTTTTTCTTACCTTATTTTTATTATTTTTTTGAGTAACTTAGCGGACAAACAATTATTACATTCGCGTTACCCGCACCTGTTTCACCGATATCTTCTTCCTGATTGAATAAATTAATTCAGCTGGGTAATGTGTACGTCCGAACATCATTTGTTGATCAAGTGAGTGCCAAAAAAGTTGCCATATATATGTTTTTTTTAATATTCTATCGGTAACGCGACGGACGTAACGCAACGGAAAAAATGTCTGGGACATGAGTCAAATTTAAAAAAAGTATATTAAAATTAATTTTTTTATATATAAATTGTTTACTGTATTAACTAAGGATGTTATGGATTCTATAAAGCAACACAAAGTTCTGGTTATTCAATATTAAAAAAAAAACATGTATGTAAGTTTTATAAAACGCTAATGGGACATGCGAAAATGTGTGTTTCACAAGTTTCAAAATTAAAAAAAAAATTATTCTGAAATAACTAAACAAACATTTTCTGAAAGAGTTTACTAAGGGCTTGTTAGGCTTTCACTTGGTTGTTAAATCAATAAGATCCGATAATTTTTAACAAAGTTATTGGAATTCAAACTTACGGACAGCGGAAGGCGGGTGTTTTTTGAAAACGTCCCATTTAAACCTAACAACAAAAAAACTTTTTTTTACAGAAATTGGAAACACTCCAGAATCCAGAAACGGTAGAGTTGAAGATATTGTTGATTGCGTGTATGAGTGCACACACTGTTTAGTTCAATTTTTCGACAAAGAAATAGGTCTGAAGCACGAGAAAAAGTGTTCAAAACCCAACGTTAGAGCCGACAAAGTAAAGTTGTTCGAATGTGAACTTTGCTCCAAGAAATATCCGACAAAAAAGGTTTTATTTGACCACAAAAAGTACGTTCACAGAAGGGACGAACTGGAAAAGTTTAAATGCGACCAATGTCATTACGAAACCGCCCAAAAAGGCGGTTTTAATCGTCACTTGAGGATGCACAATAGAAAAAACTTTTTAAAGTGCAACTTTTGTTAGTACGTCGCTGCTCAAATTTTTAATTTAAAGGCGCACATCCTAAGCAAACATAAGTTGGAAAATGAAGGGGAAAATAAAATAAAAATAACGAGTAAAATGTATCAGTGTTTAAAGTGTTCATATATAACAGTTAATAAAACAAATTATGACAACCACATAAAGGTATGTTTGAAATTGGAAAACGTCCAGTGGTATGACTGTCAGATCTGCCAGTACAAAACTATTAATAAAAGTAATTTAAATAGTCACATAAAAACTCATAATTATATAAAGGAATTTAAATGTTTATTTTGCACATTTCATAGCAATGAAAAAAAAAGTTTAGACAACCATATATTAAGAAAACATCCAAATTTGTTAGAAACATCCAATAAAAATATTATTACTTCCAAAATGTATTGTTGCAAACATTGTAAATATAAAACTACACTATCAATTAATTTTAAATGGCATTTAAAACGTAATCATTAAAAATATTTAGCCAGATTTGGGAGTCTTCTGGAAGACTTAATGAGACTTTTAGCAGAGAAATGGTAGGTAAATATCTGGACTAATCAGGGACGTTGTAAAAAAACAAAAAAAAGTAAAGTTTATTTCAATCCATCACAATAAAACAGTTGAGACCTACGTTTGGTTTGTGTAATTATTATTTAGGTAATTATTACACCTTACATGTATACATTGTATAAGTAATTATGCAATAAACTTGTCTTATAACAACACAGAAAAAATGTTAATAAACACTTTTCTCTGTGTTTTTTTTGCAATAACCAAATATAACGCTATAGGTACCTACCATTTCTCTGCTAAAAGTTTTATTAACTCTTCCAGAAGACTCTTAAATATTGCTATTAGTCTTACTTACTAATTAGTCTTATTCTTATTCTGAGTTTTTAAGGGAATGTGAGACTTTCAAAACTCTTATTTTTACTCATTATAACTTTTATATTGTAGTATAATTTTAGTTCGTAATTTAAAATTAAGTAGAGTATAATTTTTAATTGAGTGTACTAAAATTATGTGTACTTACTTCATTTTAATTCAATTAAAATTCTATACAGATAATTTTAATTGAATTAAAATTATGCACATAATTTTAATTTGGCAACGCAGCAATCGCGGAACGTATGCTAACGCTAAGAATGTTCCTGTTTTTGGCAAAAGTATAATTCAAATCAATGTATAGTACCTAGAATTAAAATTATGTTATGCACAATTTTAATCCACTTAATTAAAGTTATACTATTCATAATTTTAATTATGTACACATCCTTTAGTACACCCATTTAAAATTATACTCTTCATAATTTTAAATCACAAATTAAAATTATACTAATAATTTTAATTCTAGACATTAAAATGGCGTTGTACACCATCATAATTTCATCAATAAAATTATATCTACATCATTTTAAATAGGTGAAATATAAAATCTTAAAATAATATTCAAATAAAAATTAAAATAGTTTTACTGTATGTGGTATTAGTAGTAATTTTTTTAATGTAATAACAAAATTTGTGTTTTAAATAAATAAATATTTTTTACTTTAATTGTATTTTAATCACCTTTTTTATAAATTAAATTTTGAATGACAATTGTTTTAAAAATGTCTATCTATTTTGCGTTCATAATGACTTCATTATAACACCACTTTCGGTGCTGTAATGAGATAATTTATCCCACCCAAAATTTTGATTTATAGGTTGGCTATACTTAAACAGCATAATATTTTGCATATTGGTTATAATATTTTTATGATTTTTCTTTTACTTATGAGACTTTTCTGGCAATAAATTTTGTTTTAACACCAAAGAAAATCCTTTTTTCTTCTTTAACATTAACATCTGCTTATTGTAAATAAGTAAATTAAGTACGGCATTCGAATCGATTTTGACATTAACTGTCAAACCAGAGACTGTGTCAAACCAATGACTGTGATACCAACTATATAAAGTAAAATTCGACCAAATTAAATTTAAGGTATAAAATTATTTTTTTTATAGAATTGCAAAATAGATAAAATAGCATAAAGAACTCATGTCATAAGACCTTTTGTGGCACTCGCCCATTACAAAACTCGCTAGGTGCACCTAGCATAGATTAGATACAATGGCATAAAGAGAGAAGGCACTTTTCCAACTGATTTCACTCTCTTCCCTACTCTAAGGTCTGCCGTCTGGTGATATTTCTAGGGATATTTTAGCAGATATATTAGGGAATTTTCTGTCAAATATAAAAAAAGTTATTCGAATACAATACAAATGTTTCTACACGTATTTGTTCTAATATTGGATTCAGATTAATATTCATATCATAAATGTATGTATACACTATACATTAATATTTTTAATTCACGCCTAATCATTTACAAAAACAAACTACAAGCCACCAAATCCTTATTTTTCGTTGTAAATACATCTTTAATTTGTTGTTTGAGCCTTTATAAAGGATTTTTATTGTTTTGTACAGCCTTCCAAAGTATTTTAGAGTTAAATATAAATAGTAGTTTCCATACACAATGGAGAAAATAGTTGTTAAAAGAGATCCTGAAGAACTAGTTGACGATTACGGTGATATTTGGATGAATTACGTTAAACCAATACAGACCTCTGCTGACCAAGAAATGCCTTCAGCCTCTGGAATGGCAATAAAACAAGAAATCAAAGAAGAATCGGATGATGATAAAAAGTGAGCATTGTTGTCATTTATTGCATTATCACCATGGCAACAGTTGTTTGACAGTTGACATGTTGAAACATGTAAAATGTGAAAGTTAATATTGTATTTTATTTCTTTTTTTTCAATATTTTTACTTTGACTGCCAATCTTGTAAAAGTTAAACATAGGAACAAAACTGAACTGAATTATAAATGTAATATACCTATATATTCTATGCTATTTTTCTGCAGATACATCCTAACTTTGCCACAAAGATATTTAGACTTACCTGCCCATTGTTTTGGATCTAAAATCAATGATAGTGATGAAGAAGCTACCAATTATGATGATCAAAGAAAAGATTTCTCTTGCAATATTAAGGAAGAAAGGGACAGTGACTTTTCTGAAGATGATAAAAATTCCTCACACAATGGAGATAATGAAGAAAAATATGAGGATGAAGCCATGTTTGAGACAAAAATCGAAGTGGAATATAATGGGGTTCAATATGATGAACCAGGGTGAGTTTTACTTTGTTGATGAAATTGAAAATACATTCAAATTAAAAACAGTTATCAGTAAATATAAAAAACTATTAGAGTGACTGGAATTTAAAATTGCTAACTCATAAGGATTGATCTTAAAATAAACTTGTGATAACACTGTTATCATAACAGTTCTTCAAATTCTCAATATATAATTTTACAGGCAATTTTTTTAGTGTGGTATGTTGTTGTAGGACTGACAGTGAAGTTGTAAATAAAGAAATACTAGGGAAAATGGTTTTCCCAGAAGCCAGAAAAGGTAAGTTTTTTTTTTATTTAAACTTTTCTACAGTCCTTGACAAGTTGCATACAAGTTACATGTTGACAAGAAAACAATACAACTTATCCAATTTTGTTTAAATTTTATACTTTTAAAGCTGGTTTGTGACTAAGCAACTTTTTGTAATGATTTTGTTGCCTCTAGTACTGCCGTGCTTAATGAAAACGCCGTAACCAACAATTTTGCGATTTTTGTTTTACGGCATTTTCTACTAGAACAATTCATCCTGCGTCTATCCCCGGTAGGGTAAGGTGGGGTAGGTTCGGACATGGGGCACCTCCGGACAAATCAAATTAACCGCCTTAAAGTGCTACGAGAGTTTTCATATTGACAGTAAATATCCTTCTAGACTCATAGTTCTGTGGTACGTACATGTTTAGCGACTTCGATCACTCGGGAACTATTTATTTAAGAAAATTTAAAAACAAAGTTATTCTTATAAATTTTATTAGTGCTATTGTAAGCTTTCTTGGCTTCACAGCAAACGGAAAATTATAGAAGTGTATAGGATGACTCCGCGTTTGAATATCAAATCTTAAAGTTTTATCATAACTGTATTGAATCGTGCTTTGTTTTTATATTTTTCGGCTCTATACCTATGCACGACTATATTTAAAATCAAACTCAGTGGTGTCTTACAAGATACATTATTTTGATTTTCTATATTCAACAGAGAGGTAGAAACTCGACCCTGTCGAATGGTGCAGTCATTTATGTCTCTAGAAATTATTAAAAAAGGGTTCAGTCCAATGGTGCAGCAACTTCGGATTCCTATTCTCCTCAGAGACATAGAAACTCAAGCTTTTCGAATTTTACTGGCAATGATTTTCGTTAGTGTCCCCGAGAATTATACAAAAACAGCGCAATGCAATATCGCAACGGTTTCGACTTCTCTTTACTCTACCAAGTTATAGAAACTGTTCTAGTCAATATTTCTAAGAGTATAAAAAGAGGGTGTAATATTGCAAGAAGTTTTGATCTTTTTGTGGATGCAAGTAGTTTGAATTTTCTCATTTCTACATATGATTTTGTTGAAAATAGTTCCTTTATTTGGTTCCTTTGTCTGATTTTTATTTACCGTAACAACTGTAGTGTAGAGCAAATATTATTCTGAAAAGGTGAGTATTTTTTGTATATAAATATCTATTTACAAATTTTATTTCAGAAGTTGTAAACATTAAGTTGGGTGCTTCCCCTTAATACAAAATTGAAACTATCTATCTGTAGTTACTTTGATTTTAGATACTCAAAGTGATGCAATCAATTCATTGGAACTGCTGTCAGCATCAGAAACTGATAAACCTGAAGAACATGACAAAAATCCGGTGGGTACATTTAAAAATTACAAATGGTGTTACAAAATCTTAAAGAAATATTCTTATTAAACTCTTGAGAAAAATAGTGCATAAAACATGGTGGAAAGCTTATTAATTTCCTCCCACACATTTTACTACCTTGACTAGTGTCTTGGAAGTGAAATGTATGTATGGCTACAATATTAGATCTGTCTGGTCTTTAATATATATTATACAGGGTGTTATGTAATCAGAGCTGCAACAAGTCAGTTTTAAAAAGACTTAAATCTTAAGTCTTAAGTCAATTCTAAAATCAAAATGATTTAAATCTTAAGTCAATTCTAAGATAAAGTTCAAATGATTTAAGTATTAAGTCTTTGAATTAAATCATTTTCTTTCAAGTCAAGTCATTTTCGCAAATTCTTAAATCAATATTAAGTGATTTAAGTCATCTTATGACTTAATTCCTTTAGTAAGTCGTTTTTATGACTTAAGTCTATATTTTTTATTTAAATCGTGATCTAAGAGTTAAGTCAATAAAATGACTTAAATAAAAAATTGTGATTTAAATCAAAATAATTACCCTTAAGTCAATACAACGATTTTTTAAATGTTAATAATAATTTTATGGTATTAATGATACTGATATTATTAATTTATTGTAGATATAATATAATACAGATGATAATAAACCATTATGTTAAGAATTTAAAACGATTTATTTTCAGAACACTTACAAATAAAATAAAAACTTAAAACACATTTTTTGAGTATATAGTAGACAATAAAAATAAAAACTTAAACCACCTTTTTTAGTAGAGTAGACATACAGGGAGGCTACTTTTTTATATACATAAATGGGTAACTTCTAAACAGTAATAGATTCAAACTCTGTTAAAATAGATAAAAGTTGAAGTATTTCAAAAACTGATAACTTGTTGTTTTGTTAACTTTTGTTAGCTGGTTCAACATCCATCTAGAAAAAAAATATTCCTCCCTTAAGGGAGTAATTATGAGGCGCCGTTTGTGCCATAATTATGATTTGTAAAATATATAATAATTTCTAAAATAAATATATATTTTGTTTAAAATATAAATATTTTATCTAAAATATATATATATTAGCTTATTTTATAACATATATATTAGTTTTACTAAAATATAATAATATTTTTACAAAATAATATATATTTAAAATATTTATATATTTGGACAGTTGAACTAATAATATAATTTTAATACTAATAATATAAACTCAGCTTACAAGACGTAACGCCAGGAGGCGCTGGCTGCTTTATTTAACTTGGCATCGCAGCCTGTCTGTAATTGCATGTCGGAATTACTGTGGTGTAAATTAAATAAAACCAGAAGATACATTAAAAATAATAATACCTCTGGTACGTAATAAAGCACTTGGGTATAAGTTTAAATTAAAATTTAACAGATTAATAGGTCATTTAAAATTTCACCGCAGTAATGGAACCAAATCGACGACATAGTTTTGCGTAGCCCAGAATTAAGGAATAAAAAATTATTGTTTAAAAAGAGAGTCACGACAATAAAGTTATATTTTAAACATATAAAAAATAACAAAAAGCCAAAGTGCGGCAAAAAGTTATTTAATTTACACCACTGTAATTCTCACATGAAATGAAAGAAAGGCTGCGTTGCCAAGTTAAATAAAGCTGCCAGCGCCTCCTAGCGTTACGTCTTGTAAGCTTAGTTTATATTATTAGTATTACTGTTTTAAATATATATAATTTAGTTAAAATATTATATATTTTAGTAAAACTAATATATATCTAAGAAAATGAGTTAAAATATATATATTTCAAACAAATTATTTATATTAAAAAAAATATATTTATATTTATACAAAAAATATTTATATTTTTACAAATAATTCTATATTTTATAAATCATAATTATGGCACAAACGGCGCCTCATAAGTAATGATGGGAAGTTCCAAACTCTCTATTCACGACCGCTCAAGAGGTACGACTGCTCACGACTGATTGTTTCCACTTTGCACTAATATTCACAAATTAGACCTAACTACGCACGAACACGACGAATGTTGGCAAACAAAATAACAAAATTATAAATCCCCACTTTTTTTAATTCATTTTTGATAGGACATTTTTTAATGTAGCCGTCAAACGGTTCCGAAAAGCTAACTTTACCGCGGCGGTTTTTTATCCACTAGCGGTAGCAATTGTAGGTAGGAAATTAAAGGAGTTTTTGATCTGCTGCCGCGTGAACCCATGGCAGTTCAAAATAAAATGCTGCTGTTAAAAATTTATAAAAAAATATATGAAAAATCTGACTTAAATATTTTCTAAAAAGACTTAAATCTTTTTTAAAAAGACTTAAATCTTTTTTTGACTTAAATCGTTTCTATCTGACTGAAATCGTATGTACTGATTTAAGCCTTTTATTAATGACTTAAGTTTTTTTTATTTAAAAAAAAATATTTAAGTCACAAATCATTTTGAAAATTACTTAAATTTTAAGTCTTAAGTCAGTTTTAGAGAAATGACTTATTACCAAATGACTTAAGTCATTAAAACGATTTAAATCAAAAAAACGATTTAAGTTTTCTGAGAGCTTGCAGCTCTGTATGTAATTAATGTTATATATTAAAATACTGAATACCTTTTGACATAAGGAATAAAGGAAAAATATTTAAAAAAACATTTTTCCAAAGATAAAGAAAAAATATGCATTAGAAGTTTTTTATATTTTTTGTGATACGCCACTGGTTACACACTTGTTTATCTCTGCACACTGTGAGTACATAGATACCAACCAACAAAGTAGCTATGCGTTGCCAGATGTAAAAAATTGTTACTAAAAATTTTTCTTGCAAAAAATAAATAAAAACTCAATAAATACAAAAGTTTTATGCCCTTAAAGCTCTAATACCCTTCTGTATTTATTTACTGATCCAGCTATTAGCTTAAGCAATGATTAGAAAATTTAGTACCTTTGAAATTTGAAATCCATAACCACAAAATTAATTTTTTCATCAGTTTTTTTCTCTGTTTACTCAGATGAAATTGGGACCAGTTCACAGGTTAAACTTTAAACATTTAATTTGTGTAAATAAATCCAAAAACACTTCCCTTAGTTAAGATATTTACAATTTGAAAACATAACATAAAATTTAAAAGAAATGCACTAGATTCTGTCATAAAAGTTGGCAGATTTTGTTTGAATTTACCTTCAGTACAAAAATTAAATAACCAACAATTAATAAAAACGCCAAATTGGCAATTTGCATTGTTAATTTTGTCATTTTTGTAATTAAGCTAAATTTAAACAATGTTTGTCAACTTTTTGGAGAGATTTTGGAAACACAGTGTTACCAACCATAACATAATAAATCCACCAGATTAACCTAAAGTTTCTAGTCGATCAGTGGCGTACTTTTTGGTAGGATAAAGGTTATTATAAATTATTTTTAGACTTTGGAATTTAGAAGAAAAAAAGTTTCAGGTGCTTCTTTATGGACCCTAAGGAACAACCCATTTTAATATATAACATTAATTACATAACACCCTGTATTATAGATTAGATAAAGCTAATATTATATTATTTATATAGCTGAACATGTCGCACATCCAGAACATCATAACTCAAAATTTAACAGTTTTGAGTTATGATGCTTTTTAAATACTTAAACAACCTTAGAATAGATTAAAGAATTTATCATAGCTTAAGTCCCATTTTTAAGAACTTTATTACACAATGTGTAATACACATACAATTATATTAACTGTAACCCTATCATGATTTTTTAAAACTGAAAGTTCAAACCGAAAGAAAAAGCTTACTTTCTACAAAAAATTCCTTTAACCTTTGCAAAACTTTAAACTTAATTATCTCATTTTAATGTTTTTTGAGTTACAGTGGTCTTGAACTGGGTGTGCGATATGTACATTGGTATGTTGTTTTAACAATGGTCTATGTCTAGGTGATTATGCATTTTTTTACTGATTTGTTTTTAACATTTAAATTCAGCAAATCCAGGCAAATGATGGCGAAAAATATGATGTTGCAATCCAGGACAAAATAACTGCCGTACGTGAGCGAATTGATGCTCGTAAACAACTATTGGCAAAAAACAGCAAATCGACTATTTTATCAAACAAAGAAAACAATTTAAAACGTAAGAAAGACTCCGAGCTCCCAAAAAATAAACGTAAGCCTGAACTTGTGACACCGGAAAATCTAGACGTCCAGGTACCGTTTTTTTTCTATATGAATAATACAGGGTGTTATGTAATTAATGTTATATATTAAAATACTGAATACCTTTTGACATAAGGAATAAAGGAAAAATATTTAAAAAAACATTTTTTCAAAGATAAAGAAAAAATATGCATTAGAAGTTTTTTATATTTTTTGTGATACGCCACTGGTTACACACTTGTTTATCTCTGCATACCTGTATTTTGTGAGTACATAGATACCAACCAACAAAGTAGCTATGCGTTGCCAGATGTAAAAAATTGTTACTAAAAATGTTTCTTGCAAAAAATAAATAAAAACTCAATAAATACAAAAGTTTTATGCCATTAAAGCTCTAATACCCTTCTGTATTTATTTACTGATCCAGCTATTAGCTTAAGCAATGATTAGAAAATTTAGTACCTTTGAAATTTGAAATCCATAACCACAAAATTAATTTTTTCATCAGTTTTTTTCTCTGTTTACTCAGATGAAATTGGGACCAGTTCACAGGTTAAACTTTAAACATTTAATTTGTGTAAATAAATCCAAAAGCACTTCCCTTAGTTAAGATATTTACAATTTGAAAACATAACCTAAAATTTAAAAGAAATGCACTAGATTCTGTCATAAAAGTTGTCAGATTTTGTTTGAATTTACCTTTAGTACAAAAATGAAATAACCAACAATTAATAAAAACGCCAAATTGACAATTTGCATTGTTAATTTTGTCATTTTTGTAATTAAGCTAAATTTAAACAATGCTTGGCAACTTTTTTGAAAGATTTTGGAAACAGTTGTTACCAACCATAACATAATAAATCCACCAGATTAACCTAAAGTCCCTAGTCGATCAGTGGCGTACTTTTTGGTAGGATAAAGGTTATTATAAATTATTTTTAGACTTTGGAATTTAGAAAAAAAAAGTTTTAGGTGCTGCTTTATGGACCCTAAGGAACAACCCATTTTAATATATAACATTAATTACATAACACCCTGTATAGGTAATATAGCATTTTATCAAATCGACTCAATTATTTCTGTAAGCTCATGGTTTTTCATTTTACACAAGTCATATTCCATTACAAAAAAAGAGATAATATTTATTATGTTTTTATACATAATTATAGCTCTTCTTTTATTGAGCGATTATATTAGTAGTTCTTATCTTTTTAAAATTTCCTGTTTAATTTTCCAGTTTTCAATAGATTTAATATTTTTTTAAATTTCACGAGTATTCATTGCAATTACTTTAATTGTTTCATTATCATAATGTTTTGAGTTTTAATATTATACAGTAACTTTCACATTTGAGTTTGTAATCAGTATATATTCCCAAGGACAAAATAAAAGAAATGGAAGAAACGAACTCAAGACTCCAAATTGAAGTGGATTTATTAAAAGAAACTTTGAAGCAACAAAACGAGAAAGATGCTAATTATAGAGAAATTATAAATAAAATGGAGCACCAATTAGCAAAGCGAGACCAACTAATTAACGATTTAAATCAGGAAAATGAAAACAGTTTGAAAAAAATTACGCAGTTACAAGAAAAACGTAAATATGTATGCTTAGTCATAATGGGTTCCGAAAAAATTCGTATTTTTTTAGAATCGTCTTCAAGTAGACAGGAGAATTTTTCAGTCAGCTCTTTTGTCATTAGAAAAAATACCAAAGATTCAGTTGGATTCGTAGATGAAAATGACTATGTGAGTAGAAAACGCATGACACTTAAAAATAAACAGCCAAAATTATATAAAATAAAAGTACTCTCTAAAAATGAAATAGTCAAAATTCTACTATTTGAATTAGTGCCAGCATTTTTTACTAATAAAATAGTCGTTTTCACTTTTAAATAGTTATTTTTTACTACGTAAATAGCTAAAGTTTGACTAATTTAAGATTAGTCACCATATTTGACTATTTCTGACAGTTAAAAGTAACTAATTTCTTTAATCGTTTACGGCCAACAACAAAGTATTATTTGAATTAAATGCATATACCTCTCCATGGTTAAATGACCCATAAAACAAATAAAGATGCAAAAAGTTTAGCTCAAAACAGTAACACAAATAATATATTAAACTTTAAAATATTATGAACAATATTTATTGACAAATAAAATTTATTTTTATAAGAGCGGCTGACAGCCGACTGGTTATGAGGTTAGGTTGACAAGCTTCTCAAATGACAGACGTGAGTTCAATCCCAGGCTGGGTCAAAACTTTTTTTAAATTTAAATTTACTAATTTAAATATTTCATTCAGTGGAATTTGACTAATTATTAGTGACTGCTTTTTCGCTATGGCAATTAGTCAAATATGACTTATAATTAGTTATTTTTGACTAATTCATTTTAAGAGAGTCTAAGACGCTTTCGTATTTTTTGATGTTAAATTAATCTATTTTTTTCAGTTGTGTATTAATTTCTCTTGGAATTTTTTTTAAAAATCGCATTTGTCTGTTACTTTTGTAGATATACCTGGGTAACTTCCGGTGGTTGCCAAACCGAATATACGAAATGGCATCTCACGGATTCCCGACCCCGTCAGTGTTTGTATATAATATGTCCGTGGCTGTTTTTGGCATTAAAGGGTTAATGACATCCACCGTTAGTGGAAAAAGGAGTAACGCCCGAAAAAATAAAGAAGATGATGAACATGAATTTAAAAAATTCGACCCGGATGACATTTTGGCGATAAAGAGTAAGTGAATAATCTATCTAATTGAATAAAAGATTAATACAAAATTAAACCTAACATACCTATACAGGGTGTTATGTAATTAATGTTATATATTAAAATACTGAATACCTTTTGACATAAAGAATAAAGGAAAAATATTTAAAAAAAACCTTTTTCCAAAGATAAAGAAAAAATATGCATTAGAAGTTTTTTATATTTTTTGTGATACGCCACTGGTTTATCTCTGCACACTTGTATTTTGTGAGTACATAGATACCAACCAACAAAGTAGCTATGCGTTGCCAGATGAAAAAAATTGTTACTAAAAATTTTTCTTGCAAAAAATAAATAAAAACTCAATAAATACAAAAGTTTTATGCCCTTAAAGCTCTAATACCCTTCTGTATTTATTTACTGATCCAGCTATTAACTTAAGCAATGATTAGAAAATTTAGTACCTTTGAAATTTGAAATCCATAACCACAAAATTAATTTTTCTCTGTTTACTTAGATGAAATTGGGACCAGTTCACAGGTTAAACTTTAAACATTTAATTTGTGTAAATAAATCCAAAAGCACTTCCCTTAGTTAAGATATTTACAATTTGAAAACATAACCTAAAATTTAAAAGAAATGCACTAGATTCTGTCATAAAAGTTGGCAGATTTTGTTTGAATTTACCTTCAGTACAAAAATGACATAACCAACAATTAATAAAAACGCCAAATTGAGAATTTGCATTGTTAATTTTGTCATTTTTGTAATTAAGCTAAATTTAAACAATGTTTGTCAATTTTTTTGAGAGATTTTGGAAACACTGTTGTTACCAACCATAACATAATAAATCCACCAGATTAACCTAAAGTTCCTAGTCGATCAGTGGCGTACTTTTTGGTAGGATAAAGGTTATTATAAATTATTTTTAGACTTTGGAATTTAGAAAAAAAAAGTTTCAGGTGCTTCTTTATGGACCCTAAGGAACAACCCATTTTAATATATAACATTAATTACATAACACCCTGTATACGTATTATCAAGTTCACTAATAAAATTTCTATTTCTTTTATTTTCAGGCATATTTCAATACTTTTTGGAAAATAATTTTGTTTTGACGGCTGCAGAAATTGACAATTTCGTCGAAAAGACGAAAAATTATATAACCCGAAAGGGTTCATCTATAAAAATAGGTAATTACTTTTCGGATTTATACTCGCAAAGGGTATTTATTCATCTTAAAAAATGTATAGGAAATTTATTTTGCATCTAATTATTTGTGTCGTTTTACAGATTCCAGAAAACCCAAAAGGACCTTGGAGCCCAAGAAAACAGTACCTAAAGCTCAAAAGCAGGGTGAAAAAGACGCCATAATAGCCGAGATAGACATAAACAATTGCACTCAAAAAGAAATAAACGACTTCAGTGCACAGGTGACGTTACTTTGCGATGAAGGTAATTCGAAACTGTCGTTCATTATGATCGCACTTTAATGCTCGATTTTTACGGTTTTTGCAGATCCCAGTTTGGTGACAATTGTAAAATAATAGAATATATATCACGGTGCTCTTCTGAGAGGTGATTTTTGGACTTTCTGTGAAACCTAATTTTTTCTTATATTCTTGTTAATTAGGTCATAACTAAAATGTAAAGAGCAAAATAAAAAAAAATTGACGGTTTAAATTGTTTTAATTTGCTGTTTATTAAAAATATTATGCACTCTTTCAATTATCCAATTAAAACTAGGGATTTAATTTAAATATTTAATATTTGCATAACTAAAAAAAAAGTTTTTACAATTTTTTTTATATATTTTACTGTTTTGTTACAATAAACGTTCAAACTTTTTATCTAACCTTTGACGTATACATTTATGTTCCCTTAATTAATATATCCTTAAAGGTTGCCATGAAACTTAGATCTATTAAAAATTTATTTGACGTTTGAATTGTTATTTTCAGTATACGTATTCTATAATTTTTGTTTAGTTTTTTAAAGTGTTTTTTGTAAACAAGATTAAAAATTGTGGGAAAAGTTACGAAGAAATTCATGAAATTTAACTAAGGACGGTTTAAAGTTTAACGGGCCGATAACTTTCATGTCTTGGCAATATTTAGTATCCAAAGAAATTATTTGTCAAATAAATCAAAAATGAATAAATCGGCCATAAATAAAATGTGGCACCCTTAGAATTATTGTTTAATAAATGTATACTATACATTTAACCTTAAATTAAAACTTTAAACGTGTATTACAACAAAACAGTAAAAGATATAAAAAATGTATAGACCTTTTTTAGGAAATTAACTAATCTTTAATCTGATTTAAAAAGTTATGATAATATTTAAATTAAATCGCAAGTTTTAATTGGAGAATTGAAAGTGTGCATACATATTTTTAATAAACATCCAATTAAAACAAAATTAACCGTCAAATTTTTTTTATTTTGCTCTTAACATTTTAGTTATGACCTAATTAACAAGAATATAAAAAAAAATAGGTTTCACAGAAAGTCTAAAAATCACCTCTCAGAACAGCACAGTGACATGTTCAATTATTGTCAATTTATACACAGTGACCCTTGGGCCACTAGGCCCTTAGGCCACCCGAGTGGTCCATCTTTTAACAATTTTTGAATTTTTTTGGTCTTAGGGGCTCATAGTGTTTAAAATAAAATAAAAAAAAGATTCTCCAAGTTTCAAGTCCCTATCTCAATATTATAACCCTTGCCGCATCGCAGTGTAAGTTTCCTATGTAAAAAAAATTATTTATTTTAAACATTATGAGCCTCTGAGAGCAAAAAAATCAAAAATTGTTAAAAGATGGACCACCCTAGTGTCCCAGTAAGGTCTCAGAAGAATCCAGAATAATGTTTGGGTTGGAATTTTTTTGTAAAGGAATATAATATATTTTTTTTATTATTTTTTATTATTTTTATTAATCCAGAATAATGTTTGGGTTGGAATTTTTTTGTAAAGGAATATAATATATTTTTTTTTATTATTTTATATTATTTTTTATTATATTTATTAATCCAGAATAATGTTTGGGTTGGAATTTTTTTGTAAAGGAATATAATATATTTTTTTTATTATTTTTATTAATCCAGAATAATGTTTGGGTTGGAATTTTTTTGTAAAGGAATATAATATATTTTTTTTTATTATTTTTTTTATTTTTTATTATTTTTATTAATCCAGAATAATGTTTGGGTTGGAATTTTTTTGTAAAGGAATATAATATATTTGTTTTTTATTATTTTCATTATTTTTTATTATTTTTATTATTTTTAATACTTATAGCCATAAACAAATATATAATATACAAATGTACTGTGTATTTATTTCAAACAATATCGAATGCAGTTAAAAATATTCGTAAAAGTATATTTAAATAACATTGCTTGATATTGCATTTGGACGAATTTCTATACCGTTCTACTGTATAAAATATCAATAACGACCTCTATACTGTGGAGACTTTTGAAACGCTCGACTGACGAATACAAATCTATACCGTGGCAGCCCAATACTAGACCTGTCTAGTAGACAAGTCTAGTATTCCTATAACTATAATATATATATATATTAGACTGGTTCAAAAAAATCGAATATTTTTTTTTCTTTAAAGCCCGCATTGAAATATTTTCCTAGTAGTGAAAAAAGAAGCCTGTGAAAATTGTAGCTCTTAATATTAATATCTGGAGGTCGCTCACCGTGAATTTCTATTTTACGTTTAAATAACACAGGAATTCTTTTTTCTTAACTTTGAAATTTTATAACTCGTTTATGAGTGAACATATTGGAATAAGCGATACATATTTTTAAAGAAAATTGAACACTCTACAAAAAATTTCTCTTATAATTTGTTCATAAATTCACTTTTTTTTTAGTTATTCAAGGTTGAAATTAGACATAATAAATTTAACGTTTTTTTTCAATTGGTGGCATAATAATAAACCTTATCATTCTTTATTGTACAGGATGGTCCAGTTTGTAATACATTAATTTTAATAGGTGGTAAAGCATCAAAAATAAGGTAGACTTTCATAAAAAAACATTTCTTAAAAATGTTTCCTAAGAGAAATACAGGCCGTCAAGTTTACAAAAAAAAATAGTTTTCTCTTCACAACTTTTAAACCAAAAAATTAATTTGGCACACAATGTAATATAGTCAGTGCCTTAATAATGATGTAAATAATTATTAAAAAAAAACATCAGTGCCGCAGTTACTTGGGGGGCTGCTCCCCTTTTCACCCTAGGCGCCACTGGAATTTTTTTTAATAAAAAACACATTTTTAGATTATCTGTTTAATTTAGAGAAAAAAACTACTGAAATACTGAAATAAAATTTTAATTTAGTTTAAATAATTAATTTATTTATCCAAGAATACTTTTGCAGTTTTTTTGGAGTGTATTTTCAAATAGTTCAAAAACGAAGCACTAAATTAAAATTTTAGCACAGTAGTTTTTTTATCTCTAAATTGAACAGACAATCTAAAAATGTAATTTTGCGAGGAAACATTTTTGAGCAAATATTTTAGAAATGAAGCCCCAAATCAAAATTTTACAAGAGCAAATTTTTTCCCTTAATTAAAAACTTGACCTAAACATTTATTTATTATTTTAAAATTTCCCGGGGTCAAAGACTGAGGTGAAAAGGGGAGCAGCCCCCCAAGTAACTGCGGCACTGATGCTTTTTTTAAATAATTATCTACATCATTATTAAGGAACTGACTATTACATTGTGTGCCAAATTAATTTTGTGGTTTAAAAGTTATGAAGAGAAAACTATTTTTTTTTTTGTAAACTTTGACGGCCTGTATTTCTCTTAGGAAACATTTTTAAGAAATGTTTTTTTATGAAAGTCTAACTTATTTTTGATGCTTTATCACCTATTAAAATTAATGTATTACAAACTGGACCATCCTGTACAATAATGAGTGATAAGGTTTATTATTATGCCACCAATTGAAAAAAAAAACGTTAAATTTATTATATGTCTAATTTCAACCTTGAATAACTCTAAAAGAAGTGAATTTATGAAAAAATTATAGGAGACATTTTATGTAGAACGTTCAATTTTCTTCAAAAATATATAGAGTTCATTCCAATATGTTCACTCAAAAACGAGTTATAAAATTTCAAAGTTAAGAAAAAAGAATTCCTGTGTTATTTAAACGTAAAATAGAAATTCACGATGAGCGACCTCTAAATATTAATATTAAGAGCTACAATTTTCACAGGCTTCTTTTTTCACTACTAGGAAGATATTTTAATGCGGGCTTTGAAGAAAAAAAAATATTCGATTTTTTTGAACCAGTCTAATATATATATATTAGGGTGTCCCTTATTTTTATTTTTTTTACGCATACCCTCTAATTATATTTATTACGTGTTTATATACTCCCAGTTAAAATTTCAGCTCATTCTATAAACGGGAACCCGTGCCGACTTGCATCTGAACCCTCCGTTAGCCAACGTTAGGCGCGCGGTATTTTGTAACACGGTTGGTCGCGAGGTCTTCGATCGTAAGTCATTTTGTGTTTGTTATTATGTGACCCTTATATTATAAATTATTGACAAATGTTAAAATATAATTTTATTTATGTGTATACTTTGATAAAAATGTATATTTTCACAGGAAGTGGCTAGTTACCCGGAAGGGTCTGGTGAATAGGCCGTAAACTCTGAAATTCATAAACTTAATGGGTCTTACTCTAAATAACTAAAAGAGTCTATTGTGAGAGATGACTACCGAAAACTTATTGAACTGTCTAAAATATTTTTGGGAGGACATCAGGAAAAGAAATGCTTACAAAAAGCTGAAATTTCATATAACAGTATATTTTAGCAATACTAATTAGTATATTAATAAATTTAAGGAATAAAATCAACTAAATTAGTGAAACAAATGATAGAAACAAAAGCAATAATATTAATTAGTAATCATATTTAATAAAATCATTAGAAAAATACAGTCATAAAGTATATCTTCTTTTTAAAGTGTTTCGTGTTACAAAATACCGCGCGCTCCTAACGTTGGCTAACGGAGGGTTTAGATGCAAGTCGGCACGGGTTCCCGTTTATAGAATGAGCTGAAATTTTTACTGGGAGTATATAAACAAGTAATAAATATAATTAGAGGGTATGACACCCTAATATATATATATATATGTATATATATAATTATTATAATTATAATTAATCTTTTACAAGAACAAACACTTCAATAAAATTTCCTCCAACTTCAACAAAATTTCTTTGAGCTTTTCAGAGGCTTTAATTTGTAATGTAATTTTCGTTTTTCATACCTTCTAATGCAAATTTACCTGTACCACACATTGCAAACTACGAACATAACCCAATTGTGTAGGTTTTATATTGCGGCAATCCTCTTCATACCAATTTTTTGTCAATAATAAGGTTTAGTCTGTTATAAATGTATTTATGTATATATTTAATAATACATATTATTTTATAATGTCATTAACACATATTTAAGTATACGCTGTGTCTAGTCTCACGCTAGCGTGAACGCAATTTTATTCTTATTCTCACGCGGTGACGTCAAAGATAATATCTGTATTATCTTTGGGTGACGTCACTAAAGGTAACATAACCTAAGATTCTTTCAAGAATCTAATTTGTTCTGTGAATCTAATTTTCGCGGTTTTGAGGTTTTTTAAACGTTGGCAGGCGGTTTGGTCGATTTGTGAAATCTGCCCTGATACAAGTGTACGTAAAATGTATTGCCATGGACAAAAACAACAATAATGATGAGTTAAAACTAACTACCTATTGGAAAATCGTTCATTTTGCCCATTTTAGTTGGGTTTTTTGCTCAATGGGGCGGGGGGGGGGCCCAATGGGGCGGGGTCGGTTGGGTTGTGTTGTTGAGTTTGGGTTGGTTTGGCTGCATTAAAAGAGTCTCGATTTTATTATTAGTAAATTTTATTACATTTACATAATCAAATCAAATGACATAATCAAATAATAATCAAATCAAATGACACGACACCTAAAAAGTAAAATTAAATAAAATAATGCTGGCAGAATTATGTCCACTACACATGGGCTTTTTCTATTTTCGCCCCCCCCCTCAGTAGATGTCTAAAACCGCCCCTGGGCAAAGTTGGCAGCCTTAGGTTTAACCAAAAACCAAAAGGCTTTAATCTGTATTTATATAGATATACGAAGTTAACGTGAGAATAAAATTAAAATTATTTTGACTTTAGCGTGAGAATAAAAATTAAATTGCGTTCACGTTAGCGTGAGAATAAGAATAAAATTGCGTTCACGCTAGCGTGAGACTAGACACAGCGTTAAGTATATGTAAGATAACCTATAAATCCGCTGTCATTTAAAATTTGCTATGTTGCCAAATTGGTTCAAACTGAAATCCGTGTACAGTTCTTTTTTTTATCTGGACTCGTGTTGGTGGCTTATGCCAGTTTGACTTAGTATTTTTAGTATTTAAAAATGGTACTTCTGCTAAAGATTTTAATTAAATACTTTGACACTGTCAAATTGACAATAATATTTATTATTGATAATTTACTTGTCAATTATAAATAAAAAGATAATTATGCCAAAAATAATAGCAACGAATTCGAATGTAAAAGCCCTTTTGAGGGCAAAACTTCATTTTGATGAAATTATGCCAAATGCCACAATGGAAGAAAAAGTACATCGCCTTATGGACATTTTTGGAGTAAAAAAGTAACGAATTTGGTTTTATAAATATTACATCACACATTATTCACCATTGGACAACATTTACGTTCACAAAAAATTTAAATTTCTTTTATATAAATTCTTTTCAAAGCGAAGATTATTATCCGCTAGGAATACTTTCTCTTCTGGGACGTAAATCAACCTATATTTAACTACTTTTTTATATGATTTTACTCATCCAAGCACCACCAAAGCCAAATTAATTGCATTTTTAACTACGAATTTCGACAACTCAACTTGACAACTGCACAATGTAACCTACAATAATTTATACATAACCACAATTAGATTTATAACTAGCTTAGTTTGTTTTAATCAATGCGACCAACTTGAAAACTGTGTTTACCAACCAAAACCCTTAATTTGCAACGTTGCCGCAGTCCAGAAAAATGAGCAATTTTCATGTTGAAGCGAAAAAATCGATATCGTTTGTTTTTGAACACCCTAATAAATAATTTTTTCTTTTACAGAAAGTTCCGAGGAGCAGTGTTTAAAATCAAGAGTTGACGAAAAAAAGTTTTTTAACTGTGACCTTTGCCCTAAGAAATATCACACGCAGAGGAGTCTACTTCAACATAAAAAGTTTTTCCATAATAAAGACAAACAGGAACATTTTAAATGTGGAAAATGCCATTACGTAACAGTTATAAAGGATGATTTTAAAAAACATGTGGATGTTCACGAGAAAAAAAACTTCCTAAAATGCCATTTTTGTAAGTATGTGGCTGCCAGAACAAGGAGTTTAAACGCTCACATCCTAAGCAAACATAAACTAGAGAATGAGGGAGAAAATAAAATAAAAATTACAAGTAAAATACATGCATGTACTAACTGTCCATATTCAACCGTTATTAAAAGGAACTTTGATGAGCATGTAAAAGTTTGTTTGAAATTAAAACTTGTCAAAAAGTATAATTGTGACATTTGCCAGTACAGGACTATTAGACATTCCGATTTACTTAGGCATTTAAAAACTCATTATAATATTAAAGAATTAAAATGTTTATTTTGTTCACATCAAAGTAGTAGAAAACTTAATTTAGACAACCACATTTTAACCAAACATTCGAATTTGTTAAACGAATCCAATATGAACTTTATAACCTCCAAAGTACACTGTTGCCAATGTTGTATTTATAAAACTACCAATACGGGTGATTTAAAAAAACATTTAAATTCCAGTCATTGATTAATCTGGGCCAAAGAAATCAACTATTTTTTTTTTGAAAAGTATATCGAAAATATGGTTTGGGGTGACAAAAAAAATTATTGTCAAAGTTTGAGTCCATAATATTAATATTAAGAGGTCTATCATCGCAATTTGAATTTTTTTTTCCTCAGCAAGTTTTTGTCTCAGAACTCCCAAACTATTGAGTTTAACAAAATTGACTCGGAAATATTTTTTTAAGAAAATTAAATGCTCTACAAAAAACGTTAAAGTAAAATTTTCCGTCAAATGAACTGTTTCCTTAAAATCATGCCTTAAAAATTGGTAGTTTTACATTTTGGTCTTTTAACTTTGGTTTTTTGTAATTCATGTAAAAATCAGTACCCAGAAAAAACCGATAAATATTCTTATGGGAAATCAAATGCTTTACAAAGAAGTCTCCTAACATTTTTGGCTAAATTCACTCAATCAAAAGTTATTCAAGGTTAAAGTTGAAGTCAAAACGAAATTCTTGTTTTTTCCTTTGTAGATTTATTTTTTATGGGTGATAATTTGATTTTTTTCTTTATAAATGTGTATTATATAACTAATTAACAATTTCCGATAAAAAAACAACATGATTTTTATTATTTAAACAATTAAATAGGTAACAGTGAAAATAATATTTTCCAAAGAAAATGGCTTCTTAAAGCAAAAAAACTCCAATGTGTTATTTTTTTTAAATTTTCAGTAATTTTATCAATAACATAAAGATTATCATCGATAAAAGAATTCAAGTTTTTAACTGACCCAAAAAAAAATCTAGAGCGGAAAAAACAAGTTCGTTTTGACTTCAAATTTAACCTTGAATAACTTTTGATGGAGTGAATTTAAAATGTTAGGAGACTTTTTGTTAGAGCATTTGATTTCCCATAAGAATATCTATCGGTTTTTTCCGGGTACGGATTTTTAAATGATTTACAAAATTCCAAAGTTAAAAGATCAAATTGTATACCAATTTTTAAGGCATGATTGTAAGAAAACGGTTCATCTGACGGGAAATTACAATCAAACCTTTTTTGTAGAACATTCAATTTTCTTCAAAAAATATTCTTAAGCCAATTTTGTTAAACTCAATAGTTTGGGAGTTCTGAGACAAAAACTTGCTGAGGAAAAAAAATTCAAATTTCGAGGATAGACCTCTTAATATTAATATTATGGACTCAAACTTTCACGATAATTTTTTTGTCACCCCAAACAATATTTTCGATATAGGTACTTTACAAAAAAAATAGTCGATTTTTTTGGCCCAGTCTTATATACAGGGTGTTATGTAATTAATGTTATATATTAAAATACTGAATACCTTTTGACATAAGGAATAAAGGAAAAATATTTAAAAAAACATTTTCTCGATTTTTATGTAAGAATGTCATATTCTCGCACGCAAAATCGTTGAAGAATGAAGCTCATTCTTAAACGATTTTTGGTAACATTTAGTTTTTAAGTATTGGTACCCCCAAAATGTCAAACTCAAATTCATTACTTTTAGGATTATTTATAATAGCTTTGTTTGTTATCCTGCACTAGTGCAACCTGAACTACACTTTTATTGAAAATGAAGCCTTTATTATTGTTTTGTTATATTAAGTTTGCTCCAACAATGCATTTTAATGCAAAATTTTAAGTTTAATGTGAAAAAGTGCAGTTCAGGTTGTACTTGTGCAGGATAACAATTATTGACAAATAAATGAGCCAAACAGGTCAATCAAACTATATTTTATTGGAAATATTATATACCCACAGTACACAAAACTACTATAAATTAATCACTAGCACAATTGTTAAAAACTTTTATTGTACCTAATGTTCGGTGTTGCATGTAAAACCTCCTGTGACATTTTTCACTGCTAAAAGTAAACACAATTGTTCAAAAATATCAGAAAACATTAAAAAATAATACAATACTTACACAAAACCTTATTATCCAGTTGACAAATACAGACAGATTATTAATAAATAAAAATAAATCTACCTGTCCATGCAACTGTCATTTTGTGTTGCCAACTGACATTTTGCGAGAAAAATCCCCCAACTAACAACGACCACAAAACAATAGAGTAATTGCATCAAAAATGAAAATCCCTAAAAACCTTTTTAATGTAATCTAGAGGTAAAAACACATTGCAAAAATATTTTTTTATATTCCAAAAGTTCAACCCGGCCCCAAAATATCAAATTGAAAAAAAGGTACTTTTCAAACGTTCCGAACTCCCGCCATATTGCATGACGTCATAAGCTTCACCAGCTGTCAGAAATCAAGATGTCAACAAATAATAAACACCGATAAAGTTTATGTTTAACATGGAAAACGCGAAACCAAAAATTGGTTGTAAATATTGTTTTGTGCCTTGTTGTACAAATACAACCTGGAAAACTCCTGGGAAAGTTCTCCCTTCAATTATCAAAAGCAAAGTTTATGACCCTACACTGAGAGTAGTTACGGCTCAGCCGTATTTTCTTGAATTTATTAATATTTAACATACCTATTCAAACCATATACCTAGTAAACGACATTTTATTTTACTTACATTAAAATGATCCTTAAAATGAGCAATAAAATGGTGACGATGTTTTGATATCGCGCCGAGCTATTTTAATCCACTTTATCCTTATTTTCCCTTTTGGCACGGTGATAAACCTTTTTCCAGGAGTTTTCCAGGTTGTATTTGTACAAGGCACAAAACAATATTTACAACCAATTTTTGGTTTCACGTTTTCCATGTTAAACATAAACTTTATCGGTGTTTATTATTTGACATCTTGATTTCTGACAGCTGGTGAAGCTTATGACGTCATGCAATATGGCGGGAGTTCGGAACGTTTGAAAAGTACCTTTTTTTCAATTTGATATTTTGGGGCCGGGTTGAACTTTTGGAATATAAAAAAATATTTTCGCAATGTGTTTTTACCTCTAGATTACAATAAAAAGGTTTTTAGGGATTTTCATTTTTGATGCAATTACTCTATTAAAAAAACCTAAATAAAAGTTAAAATCGAGAAAATAGTATAAATCACACGTTGCAGAAGGCTATTCTCGCACTCATTCGTTCGTCCACTCGCTCCTTCGTCGCTCGAGGCCAAATTTCGAATTCGTGCGAGAATATGTGGCCTTCTGCAACTTGTACTTTAATATACTATTTCCAAAGATAAAGAAAAAATATGCATTAGAAGTTTTTTATATTTTTTGTGATACGCCACTGGTTACACACTTAGTTTATCTCTGCACACTTGTATTTTGTGAGGACATAGATACCAACCAACAAAGTAGCTATGCGTTGCCAGATGTAAAAAATTGTTACTAAAAATTTTTCTTGCAAAAAATAAATAAAAACTCAATAAATACAAAAGTGTTATGCCCTTAAAGCTCTAATACCCTTCTGTATTTATTTACTGATCCAGCTAGTAGCTTAAGCAATGATTAGAAAATTTAGTACCTTTGAAATTTGAAATCCATAACCACAAAATTAATTTTTTCATCAGTTTTTTTCTTTGTTTACTCAGATGAAATTGGGACCAGTTCACAGGTTAAACTTTAAACATTTAATTTGTGTAAATAAATCCAAAAGCACTTCCCTTAGTTAAGATATTTACAATTTGAAAACATAACCTAAAATTTAAAAGAAATGCACTAGATTCTGGCATAAAAGTTGGCAGATTTTGTTTGAATTTACCTTCAGTACAAAAATGACATAACCAACAATTAATAAAAACGCCAAATTGACAATTTGCATTGTTAATTTTGTCATTTTTGTAATTAAGCTAAATTTAAACAATGTTTGTCAACTTTTTTGAGAGATTTTGGAAACACTGTTGTTACCAACCATAACATAATAAATCCACCAGATTAACCTAAAGTTCCTAGTCGATCAGTGGCGTACTTTTTGGTAGGATAAAGGTTATTATAAATTATTTTTAGACTTTAGAATTTAGAAAAAAAAAGTTTCAGGTGCTTCTTTATGGACCCTAAGGAACAACCCACTTTAATATATAACATTAATTACATAACACCCTATATATATATATATATATTTACTTTTAAAAATGATTTAGATACTTAAAATATATCGTAATCACTTTTAACAGTAAATTATTAATTAAAAGGTGTAAAATCATTATTTGTTTTGCATTTAACTAAAAGTGTTTTCTTATAAAAAATCGTTTAAACATAAAAAATTCTCTTTAAACACTAAAATAAAATAATTCTCTTGAAAACAAATTAAAATAAATAAATCAATTCTCTTAAAACAAAACTAAAAATCAAACTTAATAATAAATGTAAATAAATAAATAAATTATTTAATTAATAAAAATAATAAACTATTATTTGCACACAAGCTTTGAATAATTTATTCAAAGCTTATTTTCATTTACCCCCAAAATACAACCAATTGTTTTAAACCTTTGAATAACGTTTGTTATTGTTCTATATATAATATATTAGGGTGTTTCATGTAAAACGACTATTTCTTGTTTTTTTACCGAAACTTCAAAATATTGTTCAAAACATCTAATAAAAAATTCCCTTAAAGTTTGAGCCATAAATTTTGATTTTAAGTACTTTATTGAAATGAATGAATGAATATTATAATGAAACCCGGCAAAGATATAGAAATTTAATTAAAAAAAAGTGAAAATACATGCATTTTTAATGGGAAACATTCAAATTAAAAAGGAAGTACTTAAAATTAAAATTAATTAATTCGAACTGTAATTTAAAGGAATAATGTATAGTTGTATAATATATATTATGTATGTTTTTTTATAAAATTTATTTGTAATTGAGTTTATTTAGTTATTATAGTTAGGTATAATCAAAAGCAGACAAATTCTATATATAATAACCTATTAACTAAATTATCAGATATATACACATGTAAGCCGAATTTTGAATAAATTATTACCAATTTTTAATTGTTATTTTTATTTACATACTCAATATAGGTTTACAGTGCTGGGTGCATTCGAACGCCTTGAAAGAG